TTGGATAACCACGCTAGCGTCGCAATCATGTGGGTGCTAGCAAGCATGCTAGATAGTGCTAGGTATCAACAGTCAATCCAGTAGGGGCTGGAATCTGTAGTGAGCTTTGATTGGTCATCCTCGCCGCAATATCGCATAAAGAGTATTTGCATAAAGTTAAGCTTTTTCCACTCCCTCGCCATGCTTGCATCGCCCTACGGTCCCCTCACCCACTTCGCTTCCCTCCATTGAAAATTAACAGCTTCATCGCCCCTATCATGTTCAACGCAGATCAGTGGATGTTTGGTGAATGACTGACACTATAGAGACCTGTTGTTTGCAAACATAAGAGAAGGAACCTCTTTATCCTGCTCCTATGGGGGAGACACACAATCAGGTATTGCTTTGGTCTTCCATATGGACATGCCATACAGGACAAATGACACATTGACGTCAAGGCTGAGGTCATAATAATATATAATAATAATAATATGCCATTTAGCAGACGCTTTTATCCAAAGCGACTTACAGTCATGCGTGCATACATTTTTGTGTATGGGTGGTCCCGGGGATCGAACCCACTACCTTGGCGTTACAAGCGCCGTGCTCTACCAGCTGAGCTACAGAGGTCATCAGTTGCTGGCCTTAGGATGGCTTCTGTATGGTATGACACATAGGGCGAGATCATACAATACGAACATATCATTATGTCATGGCCTACTGGGACGCACAGGGATGTGTCATAGACTCATACATGACAGCATTCAACTGCTTGCCATTAATAGCTTGATACCTGGGGAAATTAGCAATCAGCTGTCCGTCATACACAAAAATAGACAGATAGACATCTCCCAAGAGAAGATTTTCTAAAGGAGGACCACTCAGCCTGGAAATATATGGAATTATATCACAGAGCAGTATGGAAATACAGCACTTGAGAGTGGATGAGTAAGCCTTATTGCACACTTAAGCAGAAGGATTTTGTGCAAGGGAATCTTGCATATCACTAGAGCTGACTCCGGTAAGACATGGGGTGGCGGTCTGTGTATATTTGTAAACAACAGCTGGTGCGTAAATCTAATACTAAGGAAGTCTCAAGGTTTTGCTCGCCTGAGGTAGAGTATCTCATGATAAGCTGTAGACCACACTATTTACCAAGAGAGTTTTCATCTATATTTTTCGTAACTGTCTATTTACCACCACAAACCGATGCTGGCACCAAGATTGCACTCAATGAGCTGTATACGGCCATAAGCAAACAGGAAAACTCTCATCCAGAGGCGGCGCTCCTAGTGGCCGGGGACTTTAATGAAGGGAAACTTAAATCCGTTCTACCTAATTTCTTCCAGCATGTTAAAATGTGCAACCAGAGGAAAAATCAACTCTAGACCACCTTTACTCCACACACAGAGACGCGTACAAAGCTCTCCCTCGTCCTCTATTTGGCAAATCTGACCATAACTCTATCCTCCTGATACCTGCTTATAAGCAAAAACTAAAGCAAGAAGCACCAGTGACTCGGTTAAAAAGGAAGTGGTCAGATGACGCAGAAGCTAAGCTACAGGACTGTTTTGCTAGCACAGACTGGAATATGTTCCGGGATTCTTCTGATAGCAGTGAGGAGTACACCACATCAGTCACTGGCTTCATCAATAAGTGTATCGATGACGTCGTCCCCACAGTGACCGTACGTACATACCTCAACCAGAAGCCATGGATTACAGGCAACAGCCGCACTGAGCTAAAGGGTAGAGCTGCTGCTTTCAAGGAGCGGGACTCTAACCCGGACGCTTACAAGAAATCCTGCTATGCCCTCAGACTAACCATCAAACAGGCAGTCAATACAGGACTAAGATTTAATCGTACTACACCGGCGCCGACGCTCGTCGGATGTGGCAGGGCTTGAAAACTACTACAGACTACAAAGGGAAGTACAGCCGCAAGCTGCCCAGTGACACAAGCCTACCAGACGAGCTAAATCACTTCTATGCTCTCTTCGAGGCAAGCAACACTGAAGCATGCATGAGAGCATCAGCTGTTCCGGATGACTATGTGATCACGCTCTCCGTAGCCGATGTGAGTAAGACTTTTAAGCAGGTCAACATTCACAAGGCCGCAGGGCCAGACGGATTACCAGGACGTGTACTCCGAGCACGCGCTGACCAACTGGCAAGTGTCTTCACTGACATTTTCAACATGTCCCTGACTGAGTCTGTAATACCAACATGTTTCTAGCAGACCACCATATTCCCTGTGCCCAAGAACACTAAGATAACCTGCCTAAATGACTACCGACCCGTAGCACTCACGTCTGTAGCCATGAAGTGCTTTGAAAGGCTGGTCATGACTCACATCAACACCATTATCCCAGAAACACTAGACCCATTCCAATTTGCATACCGCCCCAACAGATCCACAGATGATGCAATCTCTATTGCACTCCACACTGCCCTTTCCCACCTGGACAAGAGGAACACCTATGTGAGAATGCTATTCATTAACTACAGCTCAGCGTTCAACACCATAGTGCCCTCAAAGCTCATCACTAAGCTAAGGACCCTGGGACTAAACCCCTCCCTCTGCAACTGGATCCTGGACTTCCTGACGGGCCGCCCCCAGGTGGTAAGGGTAGGTAACGACACATCTGCCACGCTGATCCTCAACACGCGGGCCCCTCAGGGGTGCGTGCTCAGTTCCCTCCTGTACTCCATGTACATCCATGACTGCATGGCCATGTACGACTCCCACACCATCATAAAGTTTGCCGACGACACAACAGTGGTAGGCCTGATCACCGACAACGATGAGACAGCCTATAGGGAGGAGGTCAGAGACCTGGCCGTGTGGTGCCAGGATAACCACCCCTAAATAAGATCTGGTGCAACCAATTACCTTCAGAAGTCACATAATTAGTTAAATAAAATGTCCACCTGTGTGCAATCTAAGTGTCACATGATCTGTCACATGTTCTCAGAATATATACTCCTGTTCTGAACGGCCCCAGAGTCTGCAACACCACTAAGCAAGGGGCACCACCAAGCAAGCGGCACCAAGTTGTGGAGATGTACAGATCAGGGTTGGGTTGTAAAAAAATATCCAAAACTTTGAACATCCCACGGAGCACCATTAAATCCATTATTAAAAAATTGAAAGAATATGGCACCACAACAAACCTGCCAAGAGTGGGCCGCCCACCAAAACTCACGGCCCAGGCAAGGAAGGCATTAATCAGAGACAACAAAGAGACCAAAGATATCCCTGAAGGAGCTGTAAAGCTCCACAGCGGAGATTTGAGTATCTGTCCACAGGACCACTTTAAGCCGTACACTCCACAGAGCTGGGCTTCATGGAAGAGTGGCCAGAAAAAAGCCATTGCTTAAAGAAAAAAATAAGCAAACATGTTTGGTGTTCGCCAAAAGGCATGTGGGAGACTCCCCAAACATATGGAAGAAGGTACTCTGGTCAGATGAGACAAAAATTGAGCTTTTTGGCCATCAAGGAAAACACTATGTCTGGCGCAAACCCAACACCTCTCATCACCCCGAGAACACCATCCCCACAGTGAAGCATGGTGGGGGCAGCATCATGCTGTGGGGATGTTTTTCATCGGCAGGGACTGGGAAACAGGTCAGAATGGAAGGAATTATGGATGGGGCTAAATACAGGGAAATTCTTGAGTCTTCCTGAGATTTGAGACTGGGATGAAGGTTCACCTTCCAGCAGGACAATGACCCTAACCATACTGCTAAAGCAACACTCAAGTGGTTTAATGGGAAACATTTAAATGTCTTGGAATGGCCCAGTCAAAGCCCAGACCTCAATCCAATTGAGAATCTGTGTTATGACTTAAAAATTGCTGTACACCAGTGGAACCCATCCAACTTGAAAGAGCTGGAGCAGTTTTGCCTTGAAGAATGGGCAAAAATCCCAGTGGCTAGAGTTGCCAAGCTTATAGAGACATACCCCAAGAGACTTGCAGCTGTAATTGCTGCAAAAGGTGCCTCTACAAAGTATTGACTGAGTGAATAGTTATTTTTTTGTCTTATTTCTTCTTTGTTTCACAAGAAAAAATATTTTGCATCTTCAAAAAGTGGTAGGCATGTTGTGTAAATGAAATGATACAAACTCCCCAAAAATCCATTTTAATTCCAGGTTGTAAGGCAACAAAATAGGAAAAACACCAAGGGGGTGAATACTTTCGCAAGCCACTGTACCTTAATTACCTCGACTAACCGGTGCCCCTGCAAATTGACTCTGTACCGGTATTCCTGTATATAACCTCCCTACTGTTATTTTATTTTACTGCTGCTCTTTAATTATTTGCTATTTTTATTTTTTAGTTATCTATTTTTTACTTAACAATTTTTTTTATTTTCTTAAAACTGCATTGTTGGTTAAGGGCTTGTAAGTAAGCATTTCACTGTAAAGCATTTTATTTTATTTGATCTAACTGGCCAATTAATACCAGCTTTTCAGCAATGGTAATGATCAGTTAAGGACCCGCTGATAACTGGGCAGTGGGTACTAGAGTCATTGGAGAAGCAGTGGGTTTTCTCCCGTATCGACTCTCTCAACATTTTTCACCGCCACTAACGCTATGTAACGGATAGACATTTGAATCACTCAGTACAGTTGTTTGAAGTGAAGAAAGTACTGCTGAGAACAACTGTAAAGGCATGCTTTGACAATAGTCATATTTTACACAATGACAATCCAAACCCATTCTCAGTGTGTAAGACAAATAGAAAAAACGGTTCTATGCTGAGTTTTATGTCAAGGCAATAAAAGGCTGTAATTTTTCTGTCCGAATCTTCCTATTGAGATATCCTTAGAAATCACATCACACAATAGTCTGTGATGGGCCATAATTCAGTCGAGTCACATTGTTACTCATTTAAAATGTGAGGCAATGCATAGTGACATATAAATTCTGTAGCTCTCCTGTCCAACAGTACATACATGTGAAGAAAACACTAGGTACTGACTTATTCAAAAAGGCAATGCACAGCTTATGAGTCCTATTTCTGTGTGTCAAAGCTGTTACCTATGTTTGTTGTTGTTGTGTGTGCGTACATTCATGAGTGATTGTGTATCGTATCCCCTACCTCTGGTGTTAGTGCGTTGTTGTCAGATGTCTGGCTGGAGAGCAGTACGTGCGTGAAACCCTCCTCCTTCCTGACAACAATGTCACGGAATCGACAGTTGGACTCGTTCTGCCGCACGTTGTACCTCAGCCGCTTGTCGAACACGTAGCCTTTGTCCTCTCCAAGCTTCCTCTTCACAGAACTGTGCAGATTCATCTCACCGTTGGAGAGTGTGGAGCCTGTTGGAACATATGGAGCAGAGTGAATGATGAGCAGAGTGAATGATGAGCAGAGTGAATGATGAGCAGAGTGAATGATGAGCAGAGTGAATGATGAGCTGAGTGAATGATGAGCAGAGTGAATGATGAGCAGAGTGAATGATGAGCTGAGGACCCATTAGGAGTCAGAGCAGTGTACCCTACTTTAGAGAGACTTTCCTGGAAAACGACATGGTGCATCTCAAGGGGTGTACTTGAGCCTCTTCACTGGAAGACTTATTCAGAGACAGCTTTTGTGCATACAGTAGTACTGTAAGTGCCAGCTCAGCTAGTGACACAATAGACATGCAAATAATATTTTAACAACTGCTGTGGAGCTGGGATGTGCATTACTGATATCCAAAAAAACATGGTCACCTATATTGCTCTGTTTGCATGTCAATAGTTGTCTATTAAAATACTCCCTTGAAAGAGTGAGAAGGCTATATCAATTTTCTTTGTCATTGGGTAACATCATCCTCATTTTGCATGCTGCTCCTGTCAGCGTATCATAACTATTGAATCAAACCCCATCTTGATTCTATTAGTCTCTCAGACAATGAAAGAGGCATGACTGCAAATGAGCAGAGAGAATGGATTCACACCAAGGCCCCAGTCTGGGGTAAACTATGGATGTGACAACATTCAAATGCAAGACCATGATCCTCAGAGAGAGACAAGGCGGCTCATCTTGTTTACAAGACAACATAAAACAGCTACTGAGCACTACTGAGCACGGCTGAGCACTACTGAGCACTACTGAGCACGGCTGAGCACTACTGAGCACAGAGGACCAAACAGGGACCAACATTCAGTTACTGACCAAGGCAAACATAACTTGACCCATTGAGAAATTACCAACTACAATGATCATTTATTCTATTTCTACAAATATATTTTATAACAACAAATGTATCAGCACAAGTATTCTATGATCTGATTTGACCATGAGAAAAAGAGCTAGAGCGTAAATGCTGGCAAACCGTGTTCAAACCTTGGTTTGATCCCTCAGGGGTAGACCTTTCAGAGTCCCCAGACCCCAGCCAGATATTATAATGCAAGGCCAGCTGTAAGCGTGACAGACATTTCTCCTCTGTCATCTCGTGACATTAGACATCATAGGTCACAATGTTATCACCCGACCAATAAACTATTACACTCATTGCGATGGGACCATTTTGAGGCAAATGTTTCAATAAAGGCAAAGTGACACTAATGGATCTGTATAGTGGATTTACATAGATTGACAACATTAAAGCCTCAACCCTGTCCCGCTTTCATGATAGACAGAGGTAGAGACGATAATGCAAAGCAAAAGGGACTGTAGCTAATTTGGGACCGACCACCTCGATTCGTTCTTATGTTGCAAAATTTGAAATTGTGTTTTTTACATTGGATAAAAGTAGTGATTCAGAGCTACCAAATGGTATATCATACACTGCAGTTGAGGAACAATGGGAAAGTAATTCTGCTTTGAAAGTTGATAAACTTGTAACCCCACTTTTGAGGAAATGGCCCTTGAATGTTTTGGTACACCTACTGGAGAGCTCTTCTTTGTCTACACCTATTCATCATCGTTCACACCCTCTTAAGCCTTAGCCCCACCCATCACTTTAGGTATTCACATGTGAGGCCATGTTCTAAACAGAGTGAGTAAGGTCTTGTAGTAAACAACCAAAGATTTCAAGATTAAAAATGGTGAATGTAGTAGCCTACAATAAGGAAAAACTCCAGGTAACAATACACTTTCTAGTCCTTTGCCTATATCCTAATCTGACTTTGGTGCAGGTCATGTAGTTGTTCACATTACCGTCTCTGGTAAACACACACTATATCAAACAAAATCAAAGTTTATTTGTCACACGCACAGGATACAAAGCTGTAAACGGTACAGTGAAATGGTTACTTGCATAATTGCATAGTAGCAATATCAAAAATATAACATGTCCAGATAAAAATGTATTAGTTATAATTATTAGATGATGCTTCCGAGACACACTTGTCTAAATTGATGGGTCATGTGAAAGAAATGCTATAACCACCCCCCAGCCACATCTAGCTAAGTGGATGGGTCACTATTGTCTAGACATGTAATAATAATAATAAATAATATGCCATTTAGCAGACGCTTTTATCCAAAGCGACTTACAGTCATGTGCGCATACATTTTTAAGTATGGGTGGTCCCGGGGATCGAACCCACTACCCTGGCGTTACAAGCGCCATGCTCTACCAATTGAGCTACAGAGGACCTTACCACATGGAGTCTTTTGTTTAGACATGTAGGTAGCTAGCTAAACAATGAACCATAATCCCAACCCATACTACTAGCAATACAAACTGATTGACATAGCTAGCCACCATGCATGAAATGCTGTAGTATGAATCTGCAGGTAGCTAAAGCTAACCAACTAGGTTCAATGTTAGCTAGCTAGCTAACATTATGCTACAACTACCAATGCAAAATGCTTTCTGAGATACAAATAATATTACTACACAGATCATACACACAACATTAGCTAGCAAGCCAGCAAGTTAACGTTCGTTAGCTAGCTAACAGTACGCTTTAACTTGCAATGAAAATGACTTTCTGACAAAATTAGAAACATATAATATCTGAAAATGTAGCTAACTCTTACCCGTAAACATGGATGAATGCTTCATAGCAGTCTGGAACCCCTTTAGCTGACCATTTTGTTTGTACAACTTGTTTGGCCCGCGTTGTGTCAAGTCACTCCGGTTCACACTGACCGTGTGCAGAAAGTAGTCCATCACAACTTTTCCCCACTGATCTGCTAAATTCAGGGCAGCAATGTTGTTGAGAGCAGTAGCAACACTTTTGCAGTTCTCTGTGGCTAATGTTTTATCTTTCAAAAAATCTGCGGTAGGAAGGATTATCTACACTTACTGATTAGCTCATGTTATTGACAGAAACATGCTACATGGCAGACCAATCCGAACTCATCTCTTGGCATGTCCAGCCCATCCATTATCTCAGCCAATCATGGCTAGCAGGAAGGTTCCTGTCTTTTTCCGTGGCTAAACCAACTAGGCTCGTAATTTAACAATTTTATTTGTATTTAAGACACATGAAAGTTCACATATTCCAGAAGGCATTTCTGCCCCAAAACATATTTTGATCAAAATAAAACGATTACGTTCAAATGCCTCTCCTGTGAAGTAGTGACGTACGACATACGCCTAGCTTCCTGAAACGGGTGACATTTATGAGCCCATTGCTGTGCCTTTCAGCTGCAAAGCAAAGGTAGATAGTTGTGAGCCCATTGCTGTGTCTTTCAGCTGGGGTCTAGTGACTCTGGAGAGGAAAACAATAGGTGTAAAATGAGTCACGCCATACAGCGTATTGTCTGTGGAAACACACAAAGGGTTTCTGTGGAAACGCACATATTTGTTAAGCTTTTTACAAGGGTTTGAGACAAATATGTGCTCTGCGAAAATCTCTGTGCAAGTGTAATACAAGCATGCCTGCTTTTGGCTTGTCTTCGTAGTTTGATGCAAATAAATGCAGTGACTTCCCATCTCTTGTTCTAGTCAGATAACCGAACATTGTTCAACATCTTCAAAGCTCTCCCGTGGCCTAGGGCTCCAGCTTATCCTGAGTGCTAATAGAGAACTAACAGTAACAATAAAATGCATTACTGAACATGATTCACACCTAACATAAATATGAGGTGTACAATAGTACTGTGTTTCAAGTTGTATAGTGTAACACACTGTTGTAATGTGGCAATTAACTGCCTTCAGTAGATCATCAGTATGCTGTAATGTGTTCAATTTGCCACATGGTACTGATTTGCTTGGGTATGAGGTTGGACTAAAACAAAATCATAATAAGAGGGCAAAATACTACCACTGACAAACATCCAGTCTATCCAGACATTTGTAAAATAATCTAACTATCAATGTGATGACAAACAGCCCCCACACATTGTGATTTGACCCTGGCAGAGGTGGAAAGGACTTTATAAATATAATCATTAACTCAATGAGGCTAGTCTTGGACTGTGACCCAGGAGTGGAATTCACTGTCCTTATCACCACTGTCAGTAGTACAATACTGAGCCATAAGGACCTCACAGAGCATGTATTCAACTGTAGGTCACAGAGGCATCCTCTGGCAGTCTCATCTACATTTTATACATCTGGTACTCTGCAGAGATACAACCTGGTTTACCAAATCCACCATGGCATGTAGCTAACTGTCCAGGATACAATGCGTTTCCATTTCAAATGAATATTCCCATCCCACTGGAATCACTGTAATTCAATAGAGAACAAAACTACATTGAATCGGAATTGAGTGAAAACCAAAATGACAACAACAATATAACAATGTCATTTCCACTGGGCTATTATGTAAGCTAGCTTTGGCTGGCATATTGGCAAGATAGCAAGCTGACTGAACAAACCAGCATCACCTCAAGCTGTGATGTAAATGTTCCGTCTATCTCTCCCTCTGTCTATCAATCCTACTAGAAATCCTATAGTTCACTGCACATGTTCATTCAATCAATAGCTAGGGCCCTGAATGTTTTCTGGCCAGGTCACTTGGCCAGGACAAACTCATGGCCCTACTATCTATAATAAGGTATATATTCCATTCAGAGCGCATCACTTACCTAGTTCATTGACCAGTGGTGTCCCGGTGGTCTCCACGCCCCCCATCACCATCTCTACCGTGTCCTGGGGCAGTCTGTGTGTCCTGGCTGCTGCCCTGTACAGGTCAGGGTCCACCTCTCCGTTCTGTAGTCCGTTATGAGGGCCCCTTACTGGGGGCACAAACTGCAGTCCCCCCGGAGGAGCCTTGTACGGCATAGCTTTGGTCATCCTGTGTGGAGAGACATGCTTCCCTCCCCCTCCTCCTCCGCTCCTCCTCCACTCACCTTCTTCTGCTTCTGAGAAGCTCCAGTGCCAACCCCCAAACCCATGTCCACCCTTACTCCTGCCCCAGGATTAACCCCGGCCCCTGTACTACCACTAGTCCTTTTCTTCTTGCGTGCCTCTGCTCGTGCTCTCGGGGTGTCTGGGGCTGGAGGACAGGCGGTGAGGAGGTGTGGTCCAACCCCCCCTGGGGCCCCTCCCGGCCTCCCTGGTCCCCCTGCCGCTCCAGGGGGCAGCTTGGGGGGTTTGGGTTGCTTGTGTTGGGTGTGTAGACGCAGGCTGTCGATGAACTCCTCACAGTGCAGCAGGTGGTGCTCAGGCTCCCAGGTGTCCTCCTTGCTGCCGTAACCCTTCCACCGGATCAGGTACTCCCACTTGCCCTTCTTGTTGCGCCGCTTGTCCATGATCCGCTCCACCTAGAGGGAGAAAATCAAGAAAGAGATAGTCAGAATTTCAAATGACATGATCACAATTCAATGACATTATCCTTGCCTAATAAATCAGTTCCTTCGCCATTCATTCAAAACATTTGCACATGATACCATTTGTAATGATTTCAAATCAGAGCCAAAAGGTACCACCTGTTACCATGTCATTCTCTAGTAAGCATGTGTAATAGGGATGTAACATAAAGTGTGACCAGGATAGAGCTCCACTTTGAATCTCTCCTCTTTAATGTTAACATAACCTGTCTATCAGTGAATCTGTTCTGGAATTGCTGTGCTTATAGGCAAGCTCTCGTCATGCGTTAGAGAGAGCTGTTATGGGAGATAGGCTCTAGGAGAGGAATGATGGAAGCAGCACTGTGATCACACCATTACAGATGAACCAGATATCTGTTTTGTGGATGATGATATAGGATTGATCAGCAAGTCAGAGTGGGACATTTCAACAAAGTTATCTAACTTCAATAATGTAAAATGTGGAGCTGACACACTGAGCATTTTTGGCATAAGGGTAGTTATATATGAATTCAATCACTTTCTGACTGAACGAAACCTTCCATGAATGTTTGCCCATGGTAGAAGTGGTCAGAAAGTGACTTGCCAAAACATTCAGGAGATAAAGGTGCTCAGAGTTGACCCATTTTGCATACCCACCCTACCATGAAAAAAAAAAAAAAAAAAAAAAAAATGTCATTTAGCAGACGCTCTTATCCAGAGCGACTTACAGGAGCAATTAGGGTTAAGTGCCTTGCTCAAGGGCACATCGACAGATTTTTCACCTAGTCGGCTCGGGGATTAGAACCAGAGACCTTTCGGTTACTGGCACAACGCTCTTAACCACTAAGCTACCTGCCGCCCAACATGAGACATCCATGTTTTCATCACTGGAAAAGACAGTTGGGTTTGATATCATTTGAAAGCTTACAAACAGGGTTGTCAAACTATTTTATAATCACTTTTAGAGGTGAAAGCCATGTTGTGGCTATAAACAAGTGAGAAGCGTGACTCCAAACTGCTGTCTGAAAGCAATGGGCACTTTCTCATTCACTCAAGATATTTCATTGTTTTAGAAGCATGAAATGAAATGGGTGATTATAGTGGCTACACTACAGTCTAGTTTGTCCATTGTGTAACAGACAGGCAGGGTGTTTTGGACATATTCTCAAATGTACAATAATTAGACTCAGGAGAGCTGGTAATGATGGAGACAATGTTTGGCAGCACTGAACAAGTCCATTACCAATGAGGAACCATTCAAATGTTCAGCGGCTATATCTGGAATACACAAATAATACAAATCACAAACCTTAAAGTGTAGACTGACACGCACAGACTCAACAAGAACAGCACACAAATAAACAGAAAGACTGACAATAGAAGCAATTCCATCCTGGCTCCAACACAGAAGGACTGGCACAGGAACGCAAATGTACTGATAAAGAGTAGATGTCAGTGGAATAGTATACACACACACATACTTCCCTGACTAAACAGAAGGATCTCTGAGGGGGAAGAATCTGTTTAAAAACTGACCAAATCATTTGGTTTTGCCCTATAGACACTTACAGTATTGTTATTTTTTATTTTACTAGTCAAGTCAGTTAAGAACAAATTCTTATTTACAATGACGGCCTACACCGGCCAAACCCAGACGACGCTGGGCCAATTGTGGACCGTCCTATGGGACTCCCAATCATGGCCGGTTGTGATACAGCCTGGAATCGAACCAGGGGATCTGTAGTGACGCCTCAAGCACTGAGATGCATTGCCTTAGACCGTTGCGCCACTCGGGAGCCACAGACAGAAGCACAAAGCACTTCTTCTTCCTAAACTCTATATTAACACTACTCAAGCCGGCCAATAGTACCAACTCCAGAGAGCTGGGAACTTCAGGGCAGCATATCCCATCTCAATTAAAAAATAGAGCAAAACCTAACATCTCAGACTATTCTAGCACAGATTAAGACACACTGTATATACAAACTTCATGAATTACTTACACTATACATACAAATGTATGTGGACACCCCTTCAGATTAGTGGATTCGGCTATTTCAGCCACACCCGTTGCTGACAGGTGTATAAAATCTAGCACACAGCCATGCAATCTCCATAGACAAACATTGGCAGAAAAATGGCCTTGCTGAAGAGCTCAGTGACTTTCAATGTAGCACCGTCATAGGATGCCACCTTTCCAACAAGTCAGTTCGTCACATTTCTGCCCTGCTAGAGCTGCCCCTGTCAACTGTAAGTGCTGTTATTGTGAAGTGGAAATGTTTAAGAGCAACAACGGCTCAGCCGTGAAGTGGTAGGCCACACAAGCTCACAGAATGGGACTGCCGAGTGCTGAAGCGCTTAGCGCGCAAAAATCGTCTGTCCTCAGTTGCAACACTCACTACCGAGTTCCAAACTGCCTCTGGAACCAACGTCAGCACAAGAGCTGTTCATCGGGAGCTTCATGAAATGGGTTTCCATGGCCGAGCAGCCGCACACAAGCCTATGATCACCATGCGCAATGCCAAGCGTTGGCTGGAGTGGTGTAAAGCTAGCCACCATTGGACTCTGGGGCAGCTTCACCATCTGGCAGTCCGACGGACGAATCTGGGTTTGGCCGATACCAGGAAAACACTACCTGTCCCAATGCATAGTGCCAACTGTAAAGTTTGGTGGAGGAGGAATAATGGTCTGGGGTTGTTTTTCATGGTTCGGGCTAGGCCCCTTAGTTCCAGTGAAGGGAAATCTTAATGCTACAGCATACAATGACATTCTAGACGATTCCGTGCTTCCAAATTTGTGGCAACAGTTCGGGGAAGGCCTTTTCTTGTTTCAGCATGACAATGCCCCCGTAAACAAAGCGTGGTCCATATAAAAATGGTTTGTCGAGATCGGTGTGGAAGAACTTGACTGGCCTGCACAGAGCCCTGACCTCAACCCCATCGAACACCTTTGGGATGAATTGGAACGCAGACTGCGAGCCAGGCCTAATCGCCCAACATCAGTGCCCGACCTCACTAATGCTCTTCTGGCTGAATGGAAGTCCTCGCAGCAAAGTTCCAACATCTAGTGGAAAGCCTTCCCAGAAGACTTGAGAGTATTATAGCAGCAAAGGAGGGACCAACTCCATTTTAATGCCCATGATTTTGGAATGAGATATTCGACAAGCAGGTGTCCACATACTTTTGGTCATGTAGTGTATGTCTCTCGGCTTCTGGGGAGAGTTGATTCCTAAAAGTACATTTGTAACGTGTTGCTGGTGGGAGATACAGTAGGACCCGCTGCACTGTGGGAAGGAGATAAGAACCCATAGGCTGACATGTAGGCTGCTATCATGGAGAACCCTTAAACATGACTGTGGATATTCATGGTCACACACACACACACACACACACACACACACACACACACACACACACACACACACACACTGGTTGAGCATGACATTTGACAGAGCCATTACAAAGAGTCAAGGGGGAGCTTTCTCCATTGTACACACAGACACCCATATGAATAATAAAAGGTTATGTTCTATGGATCATGAGTTATGACCCTTTCAGTAGCCTATATCATTCTGTATAACATTCTGTTTTCGTAGTATGTTTATGTGTGTGTGTGTATATATGTGCGTATGGTACAGGTGCTCTCCTGTTTACCGGTTGCATGTCCACCCCCAGAGACAAACAAAAAGAAACAAGCCTAATTGGTTGGCAGCAGCTCTCACGCCCTCCAGCACATCATCTCAGGAGGGACCTTCCCCCTAGTTCCTAGTTCCTCCTAGATCTGCTGTTCTCACGGAGGCAGTTGATAATGGCACTGGAGAAACTAGCTGCAGACCTTGACGCTTCAGGTTCTCTGTAGCCATTCACGCTTTATTCCAATAATCATCATTACATGCTGCAGAAAAGTAATAATAGGCTCATTCAATCTTTATTATCACATTGCTTCCTTTAGGAAGCCACACACTGTAGAATTTAAGTGTGTCAATAGACATAACTCGATATCTATGGTGTCCTCTTTCAATAATTTGTGACGGGCTCTTAAGATTGCAAATGAATATACAGTTCTCTATAGATTGTCAGCTACTAACTTTAATTGATTACCTATGTTGTTCTTTGACAGTACAACATTTAAGATAGAAACAAAATGAGTATTGGCGTTTTATAGAGAACAGAGTCTGTTTATACTGTAATCCATTTCTTGATCCAGTCCTCCATTCATTACACAACCTCGCATCTTGCCAATAGTTGTTTTTCTTCAGCAGTTAACCTTGTATCAGATGGAAGTGCCCTGACATTTAGCCCCAGCATTTCCTTGGTGTTTAGTGGTCTCATACACAATGCTGCGGATGACATGCTGTGGGAAGACAAGCAGACTCCCACACTAAGGAGCATGCAGACATCAGTCTGGCTACTATACTTTACCCTCCCCACTAGCTATGTAGCTGCCTGCCTCCAGTTCAAATGCTTTTCTCCTTTCCTTTAGAAAACATCCTCCCACCCACATGACTTCAATGGAGCTTGATTTAGCCCTAGCATCGAAGGTGGGAGGGGCAGCATGTGTGTGTGTTGGTGTGTGTGTGTGCCTGTGTGTGTAC